GAAATGGAGTTGAAAATATGCCTGTAATCACTGAGGATTTGCCAATCTTGGCAAGGAAGAAGAAGAAGCTGAAATTGGAAGGTGGAGATAGCAATGCTATAATGAAGTTCGTCAAGCAAATGCAAAAAAACAACAAAAACTTCTATCATGTTCATCATTTAGATGCGGATGGTGTGCTGCAAGATGTGTTGTGGGTAGACGCCAGAAGTAGAGTTTCCCATGAGGATTTTGGTGACGTTTTCTTTGACACAAGATTCCTAACAAATCATTATCACTCGTCTCTTTGCTTATTGTGTTGGGGTCAATCATCATGGTAGACAATCCTAATTGGGTGTGCCTTGATCTCTCATGAGGATACAAATACCTTTGAGTGAATATTTTTGACGTGGTTAGAAGCTATCGGAGGAAAGGCCTCTATTGGAATTCTGACCAGCCAAGATGCTGCTAGCAAAAAGCTCTACAAAATGTCATGCAGCAAAGCCATCACATGTGGTGTTTGTGGCATATAACTGAAAATTTTGGGTTGAAGTTGGGAAAGTGCCCTGGACAGAGTTCAAGGATGAGCTGAAGAATGTTATCTATGATAGTTTGTACATGGTGGGGTTTGAACTAAGGTGGAATAAGTGTATTATGAATTATAAACTCCAAAGTAATCATTGGTTGGCTATACTTTATGCTAAACGAGAATTGTAGGTTCCTGCAGCAATGAAGGATATGTTTTGGGCAGGCCTGAATACTACTCGAGAGAGCATCCATAGTTTCTTTGATTATAATCTGGGCCAAACACTAGTTTATGTGAATTTTCTGAGAAGTATTTTGCTGCCATGGAACAAAGAATATCGAGTGAGAAGTTGCTGATTCTAGTTCGGCTAAGAGTTTAAGGGGCTGGTGACTAATTTTGATTTTGAAAAGGTATTCCAGCAAATTTACACTGATGGGAAGTTTATTGAAGTACAACGGGAGTGCAAGCTGTTGATGTACCGTAATGGTATGATTCATAGAATAGTAAATGACAATGTAATTGAGCCTCTAGTTGAAGTCCAGGTCTATGTTTACTGCAATAGTGAGAAGAAAGATAGACCAATTGACAAAAGGCGATTGTACAGTGTTTTTTATAACTCGGAGACCATGGAGGTTGAGTGTGAATATAAGCTGTTTGAATGCCATGGTATAGTGTGCAAGCATTGGTTAAAGGGGTTTGATTTGCAACAAGTTACAGAGGTGCCACAGAGCTATAAATTGGATCGTTGGCGCAAAGATTTGTTCCGCAAACACACAAGGATCCAAGTGGCATACCATGACATATTAAAGATGAAAGAGGTGCTCAGGTTTGACAAAGTGATGGTTTCCTTTGAATTTGTTTTTGGCCTGGCTAGTGATTGACATGCTAAAGTCGTATCACCTAATCAAAAGTATTACTTAAGTCCTCTAACTAATGTAGATAGGGAAGTAGGGTCGAATCCACAGAGAAACAAGCCTTTCTATTCCTAATTAATTAATATGATCTAAACTATCAAGTAACCAAATTATTTTTAAGGGAGTTAAATTAAGGAGAATAATTAAGAAGAAATCAATAATATAAAGCCCAGGGTCACATATTCCCCCAGGGAGTGAAGGATGAGACTTTTTTTCCGTAATTCGTATCATCATTACTTTAGATTTTTCGCCGATAATCGGACCATTACCCCCCCCCCCCCAAGCCCCCCTTGGGAGGAAGGAACTACAATAAGGCTGCCCCTTGCTCTCTTTCCCTGCCTTTTTTGGAGTCCAGGAAAGGAGCGGGGGCATAAACAAGCGACTGAGTTCGTGAAATCCAGTTCACCAATAAATAATATTCCAAGGTAAAACATAATTTTCAATCACCAATGCAATAATTAATTAGATCATAAAGAGCTTTCATTACATATTACAATCATAGTATTAATTTACTGGTATTAAATCGCATCTCTTGAATCTTGACTTAACCATTTATAAATTAACCTGTCTATTGAAACTAAGCCTAAACATCAATTCTCATCTCTCGAATCAATATTGCATAACTCATACAATTAAATGAGCGCAAATCTAATTACATAGCATTATAACAATCAATAGGAAATTAACCCACAACATTAACAATCAACAATATAATTCATCCCTTCATATTAATTATGGATCCCCAAAAATCCTAAAATTAAACTATTCGTGTATAATTAAAACTACACTAAGCAAAGGAAATAAGACATAATTAAAAGCAATAATAAGAAAGCTAATATAAAAACAATGAATAAAACTAAACTAAAGACAATAACAATAAAACAGCAAAAACATAAAAATACGAAACTAAAATAAATATTGTAGCAAGAGTCTGATAAAAGATAAACTAAAACTAATTCTAAGAAATCTACCTAAAACTAAAAGCTGCCTACCCACGTACTACTCTTCCTCTTATATAGGAAACAAGTCCACAAATCCCACTCACAATAAAACTCTACAAGAATTGAAGCAGCCGAAATTGGAGTCTAGGACTGATCGGGCGTTGGGCCGACAAATTGGGCCTGTTATAACTTCGCCCAGCTGACTTTTTTTGGGGATTGGGCTTCTTTTTGCTTTGGGCCCAAAATCCTTAACTTGCTTGCTCATTACTTGGTCCGAAATACTTCCTCCGTTTTTATTTAGTTGACCCGTTTGATTTAGACACATATATTAAGGAGAGGAGAGAGAGTGAAAGAGAATGAAATAGCAAATGGGGTATCTTGTAAATGAAAGGTTAAAAATTTACCTCAAAAGAAAACGTGTCAACTAAAAAAAAACTTTATAAAAAGGAATACGTGTCAACTAAAAAGAAACGAAGGTAGTACTAATTTGGACCTCTACACAGATTGAGCCCTTATATCACTGAACCAAATTCCTTTAACTCGGTCTTGAGCTTCACATATCTATTAACTAATACTAAAACAAAACATTGCTGATATCATTACACTTAAAATATCCTACGTGTCATTCTCACGTTAAAAATTTTTCCTCCAGATGTCATCAATTATTACTCCATATATGTCAACACACAAAAGATAAATTTAAAAGGGTAAATTAAATATGTTCAAGTTGAATTACAAAGAATTGTAAGTTGTGTTAAACTAAATACTTAATCCAAAGTAATCAGGAATAGGAAATAACCCACCGACCTTAATAACCTATATATCCCCCTCTATTAAAACTCACTTTTCCTCAATTTTACTTCTCTTTTTTCATTCTACTTCTTGTACTACTAAATTCTAAGAACTCCAATATTTCAACAATACTCGGAACCTCAATGGCTAATCCTACTTCTTCTTCTGATCATGCCCAACCTTCTTTTTCGTACGATTTCTTACTCTCTATATTATTCCAATTTTTACTTTTTTTTTTTACTTCAATTATTTCTCTGGGGTTAATTTGTGTTAATTTGATTTTAATTCAATTCAATTGACGAATGTAATTTGTGGGTATTATATTTTGCTATAGTATTCATGTTGAACATCATATTTGTCGTAATCTATAAAGTAATGTAATTTATGGGTACTATATTCTTGGGGTAATGATGTTCAATTCAATTGACTAATGTAATAAAAATTAAGAAGCACACTATGTTGTCGTAATCTATAAAGTAATGATGTATGAATTGCTAAAGTTATGGGGTTTTTATGTTGGATTTTGGAAGAAAAAATAATATATATATCTGAATTTACGCTATGATTTTGTTTGATGATGATTATTAGATTTTTTAAGAATTATGCAAAAAAATTTCAGCATTAAATTTTGCTTCTGTTATAAAATATAGGGAGAAATATAAGAGAGATTGATAGAAAATATATCACTGTATTTCTATTTCATATGATAAGGGTATATATATACATAGAATATTACAAGTAGGGTTTGCTTAGATAAGAATAAACCATAGATTTAGAATATTCTGGAAACATACAAAGAGGATAATGGATATCCACACAATATTTTCATAACAACTTCAGAATTATCTGATATTATTTGGATTATATATATATATATATATATATATATATATATATATATATATAGTTGAATAATTTCTAAAATTTGCTGTACTATAATTTTATTGGTGCTCTATCTATACATATAATTTTGGCATAATTATGTGAATTTACTGCTTATGACTTATTAATACATTACCAATTACTCCGTATATGGTATGTTTTTTTTGGACTAGCAGTCTAGCCAGTGGCGGATCCAGGATTTTAAACCAAGGATAACCTAAAAAAAACACTTAGTCGAATAAAAAGGGTTAATTTTTATATAATGCATTGTTATAAGTATATTCCTTAAATTTAATGGTATGATGCGTTTTAAATTTTATATTTCATTGAGTATATATGAGTGGCACGTATATATGCCAACATAAAATTTAATGGTTTGATTGACACACATACATCACATACGTCAACCATACCGAGTATGAGTAATTATTAACCATTAAATTTTAAGTAATTATTTTAAAGGAATTTAATTTCTTACAAATACGTAGTAATTTATATTCTATGTATCAAAATACTACAATCATATTTTGTGTTGCACATAAGAAAAAAGATTATCACATAATTTTTGTTTTTATTTTTTTATATAGTGAGTAAAATAAAAAATTGCTTATGGGGGATTCGAACCGCGACCCTGAAACAATATTATGAGTTTTACAAGCATTACAAACCACTGGGGCAATGCCCGCTGTATCTGATTTAGTTCGAAATAATAATTCATATACTTACTTTTCTGGTGATATTTTAACAACAATTTTTTTTTTTTTTTAGGGGTAGCACGTGCTACCCCTTGTGCCTCTGTAGATCCGCCAGTGAGTCTAGCATTATATGAGTTTGAGTTTCTATATTTATAATTCAGTAGCTATGTTAGTAAAACAGATTAAAATCAAGTAGTGTATTTTATGACTTTATGAGCATTAAATTTTTTTACAGCACGAGTGACAAATACTCTACTGCAATCCTTGAGCGAAAATGGATGTCATTGACTTAGAAGACGAGACAATTGATGCTGAGGTACTTAACTCTATGGCTGTCACAAACGAGGACTTTCAAGCTGCTCTGCAAGCTTCCAACCCATCAGCCCCGCGTGAAACAGTAAGTTTCGCTTTAAATTTCCTGAAATTATACTGACCTTGGAATACTATATTGTGAATTTGTGCTATTCTGTCTGAAATCGTAAAATCTGATCACTGACTTTGGTTGGGACTTGGCAGGTTGTGGAGGTTCCGAATGTTTCATGGGACGATATTGGAGGATTGGAAACTGTCAAAAGAGAGCTTCAAGAGGTATTTTACTCATACAGGATATTGACTTATTGCAATGTCGATGTTTTCATTTTCTTATTGGGTATTTACACCTTCATGCTTTCGTTTACAGACTGTGCAGTACCCAGTGGAGCACCTGGAAAAGTTTGAGAAGTTTGGAATGTCACCTTCCAAAGGTGTTCTTTTCTATGGTCCTACGGGTTGTGGTAAAACATTGCTTGCAAAGGCGATTGCTAATGAATGTCAAGCCAATTTCATCAGCGTCAAGGGACCAGAGTTGCTGACCATGTGGTTTGGAGAAAGTGAGGCAAATGTTAGGGAAATTTTTGACAAGGCTCGTCAATCAGCACCTTGTGTTCTATTCTTCGACGAGCTTGACTCCATCGCTACACAGGTGAGGGTTATTGTCTATGGAATTGTCGAGGCTTATATGTCAATTGTTAATTATCTCTTGCTAACGTATTTTGTTTGAAAAATTTTCAGCGTGGCAATTCATCTGGAGATGCCGGAGGAGCTGCTGATAGAGTGTTGAACCAATTGTTGATTGAGATGGATGGGATGAACGCGAAGAAAACAGTTTTTGTCATTGGAGCTACAAACAAGCCAGATATTATTGACTCTGTGTTACTTAGACCTGGAAGGCTTGATCAGTTGATCTACATCCCTCTTCCTGATCAAGATTCTCGCCTTCAAATTTTCAGTTGATCTACATCCCTCTTCCTGATCAAGATTCTCGCCTTCAAATTTTCAAGTCTTGTTTGAGGAAATCACCGGTTTCCAAGGATGTTGACCTTGCTGCTCTCGCACACTATACACATGGTTTCAGTGGTGCAGACATTACCGAAATCTGCCAACGTGCTTGCAAATATGCAATCAGGGAAAATATTGAGAAGGTATGTTGTTTTGTTGAATATATTGTTAAGTCATTCTGTAAACTTTGTATTTGTATCTGTCACATAGAACGTAGTTAAATTTTTTGTCTAAGGCTGGCGTAACATGTACAAGTTTGTGAACTAAATTATATTTTTTGGCAGGACACTGAGAAGGAGAAGAAGAGAACAGAGAACCCTGACTTTATGGATGAAAGTGAAGAGTCGTTATCCGAGATCAAGGCAGAACACTTCGAAGAGTCTATGAAGTATGCATGCCGAAGTGTTAGTAATACTGATATTCGAAAATATCAGTCTTTTGCTCAAATCTTGCAGCAGTCTCTTGGAATTGGTTCTGAATTCCGCTTTGCTGCCAATCAAAATTCCAGTAGTACTACCTCTGCTGGTGCCGTGAACGATGACGATGATTTATATTCTTAAACGTTAGATTTTTTTTATCAATGACTAATGCAAAGTTTTAGACATGTAGAAGTAGATTTAATTTTTTTATTTGTTGATAATGACATTGAGCTTTATTACCGTAATTTTATTGTACTTTTATTATTTGTTTTATCTATCTTAACTTTGATTGATTCATATACTACTTACATTAATATGTATTTTTATTTTTGACTGATACTCTTGTGAGTCTCAATTTCACAATGCAATATGTCACTGCTCACTACTTATTACTCAATTATTGTTGGAAAGCCCATAATATCATTACTTGTACCATTTTATTCCTTTTGAGGAAAATTCATACTAATTACAATAATTGATTGAAAGTTAGGTTTTTTTATTTAATAAAATTATTAAAAGGTAATTATAAATTTAAACCATAGTATTATCAATGAGGAAAAAAAACTGCTATTGGCACATTTATTAGAATGAACGATTTCATGTCAACGGTTTCCTCTGAAAAAGAGAGTAATTTTGTACAATTTTAGTGTTAGGTTTGTTGACATTGTAAACCAAGTCATTCACAAGAAATTTTCTTTTTCCTGCATAATGAAATCAGTTCTCCAAATTAGCAAAACAAGTTAGTACACTTCCAAGAAAATAAATATTCACGCACAAAACAATACTGAAGTGATAATTCCTATGTTAAGCCAACATTTAAAAGATAGTTTTATTAGCCCGAATAAGTTTCAATCTCTGTATCCCAAAAATATAAGGTGGAGACGATACCACTAATTCACTGCTCATCCGCTTCAAGCTCAACTAGCTAGCTAAATTTTTTTTGGTGAAAGAACTAGCTAGCTAAATGACTATATGGAGAAAAAGCTCTTGTGCAATCAAAGGCATACCTTATAGGGGGTTTGATGTGAATTGACTTTTGATGTTTCAACTAGTTATTTGCCCGGGCGATGCCCCGGGTTATTATGAATTTATTATTTTAGTCGAACTATATATATTTTGGCTTGTTTGTCATTGAGAGCTTAAGTGATTTTTTTTTTAAATTTTTTATTTTTATGATAGCTTAAGTAGTTTATTGCTTGTATGAGCTGGTTTGATTATAAGAATAATTTTTTTACATCAAAATCATAAAAATATGATAAATCAAATCTTTATAAATTTGATGTCAAAACATATACTACTCCATAATGCACAAAAATCTTTTAATCTATGATTACATTTTTATGAGTTAATGCACAAAATAAAAATGGAATAATCACTACTACAAAAAACCCCTAATAAGTCGGACTTTTAGAGTCACCTGTACATAAGGTGCGACTTATAAACCTATCGAGTCCCCTCATATTTATTAGGCGGCTTGTTAAGTTGGGTTAAAATCAACAAAGCACCTAACGAGTCGCCTAATATATATGAGGTGACTTGATAAGTTAACAAGTCGCCTCATATATGCATGCGACTCTATAATCCGACTTATTTGGTGGTTTAAATTAGATTTTCAAAGTCACCTGTACATAAGGTGCGACTCGAAACCCTGTTGAGTCGCCTTATAAATATTAGGCGACTTAATAGGTGAGTTTTCTTATCTATGACTCTCACCTAATGAGTCGTCTGATATTTATAAGGCGACTCGATAGGTTAAAAAGTCGCACCTTATATACAGGTGACTTTAAAAATTTAATTTAAGCCACCTAATAAGTCGGGTTATAGAGTCACATGCATACATGGTGTGACTTGTAAACCTATCAAGTCACCTAATGTATATTAGGCGACTCATTAGGTGCTTTGTTGATTTTAACCCCAACATAACAAGTCGCCTAATAAGTATGAGGCGACTTGATATGTTTACAAGTCGCACCTTATATATAGGAGACTCTAAAAGTCCGACTTGTTAGGTGCTTTATTATATGACCACTACCTAATAAGTCGCCTAATACATAAGACGCGACTCGATAGGTTAATTCTAAAAATGTATATAAAATAGTTACAATATCATATATATATATATATATGAAAAGTAACTTTGGCATAATGTCAAGAACTTCAACCTTCCATGCAAAGAACCAGATATCAAGCATGCTGAGTGTCATAAACATTGACATTATATGAGCTAATAAAAATAGTTGGAAAAAATGTTGATTTTTTACGTGTCGCCTCTTTCAACACAAGCGACACAATAGATTAACCTATGGAGTCGCCTCTTTCAACACAAGCGACACAATAGTTTAACAAATAGAGTCGCCTAACAACTAATAGGTGACTTATATAAAAGCTATCAAGTCGCCTCAGAGGCGACTCCTAAAGTTGGAAGCTATTGTGTCGGTGGTTGTGGAGTCGCCTTTAAAGCGACTCGTTAGGTCATTTACAGGCGACTCGATAGGGGTTTTTTGTAATAATGAATGTTTAATTTCTTACAAACTTTATTATTGTGTAATTATTAAGGACTTGCATTTCAAGGGAAATTGTCATGCATATGAAGAGTTCATCAATTAAACTTAACATTAATACATGGAAGTTAATGCATGGAGTTTTTCAATAATTAATGTTATGGTATGATTTGGCGACACATCATATGCCAAACGGCAAAATTGGTGACACATGACAAAACATCATGTCTTGCCATGAGTTTTAATAATATATATTGATACCTTTACAATGCAATGGGCTACTTTCAATGTAGATAGTTTGGTATAATAATGCTGGTTCTACTTTGGATAGTAACTAGGCCCATAAAACATTATACCATGTGTACTTTACGTTTAAATCTCTGCTAGCTAATTCTAAATCTAAAGTCCTTAATGCTAACACAAATGCACATTACTACTCGTACTATGTTACAGGAGAAAATAGACATTTTATTGCAAGTGGATGTTACGAAAATCTGATAAATTGATTTTTGGAGCTTTTTTTTTTTTTACCTTTATATAATTTGTCTTCCTAAAGATAGAAAATGGCAAACATGTATTTTTTTTATTTTTAAAGGAAAGATACAAGAAGTTAGGCTAGTCTTCTCTCAAGACTTTAACCTAACCTATCTAAAGTTTTTTTTAAAAAAAAATTTACTATCTAAAAAAGAAATGGCAAACATGTATGTATGTGGTATGCCTTTTTTTTTTTTACTTTCTAAAATTTACTTTCTAGTGCTACTACTTTCTTTCTTTTTTTTTTTTTTTTTTTTTTTTTTTTTTTATTATTCATATTTTTATATATCACTATATATGTTTTTTGCTTTAGATGATGGCACACATATAGACATATATGCAATGGAAGCTCTAATCATTAGAATTATTCTTTACTTTCTGAATTTTTTATGTAGTAATGAAAAAGTGATATTGTTAAGAACATAAACAGTAATACAATTGGTTTGTCCCAATACTTATTTGTGAATGGAATAGTTAGCAAAATTTGGTATCCTTTTTAAGAGTTTCAACGAATGATAACAAACTAGAATGGTATAGTTTTTCATAATTGGTACAATGTTTTTTTATTTATTTTTTTTATTTATTTTTTTTTAATAATAATTGCATATATTTAAACTTTTATTTTTTAAGCAACTTATCAATCAGCTACATTAAATTATTGTTCATAAACTTATAAGTTATACGGAGTAACTATGAATCAAAAACCTGAATAAATATCCAATACTTGTGTATTGTGTCCGGGACTCAAACTCAAATTCAAAATATATGTTACATTAAATTGTACACGTTTGTTAAATAAATCGTTTTTTAATTTGGCAAGACATTGAGAAAAAGAAAAAGAGAATAGAGAATCCTGACTCAATGGAAGAAGATGAAAGTAGAGAGTTATCCTAGATCAAGCCAGCACATTTGAAGAATCGATAGAAATATGCACGCGGAAATGTTAGTGATGTTGATATACAAAAATATCAGTCCTTTGCTCAAACTTTGCAGCATTCTCACGGATTTGGTTCTGAATTCCGCTTTGCTGCCAATCATACTTCTAGTGCTACTACCTTTGTTGCAATCGTGAATAACGACAATGATGATATATATGCATGTTGGATTGGTCCAATTACTATGTTTTGTTGCACTTTGTGAAATGAAAGGTGTTGTAACATTGAGCTTTATTACCGAAATTTATGTATTTGCTTTCTTTTATAAAAATAAAGTATTTTAATCTGAATATTTTATAGTTTTATCTGGTTTGATCTGATTTGGTCTTATTCTTCTTATTATTGTTTAAATTTTCTAATCTGATCTAGTTAGTTATGATCTGAAATAAGTTTAAGATAATAAGTCACTATTGTATTACGGAGTATAATTTTCATGACTCATTTATACAATAGTTGGCTTTAAGTTGGTGTTACAAAGTCTGCATAATAATGTTTGAGAATTAGTTCATCAAAAGCTAAAGAACTTCAAGGACTCTTTGAGAATCATTTTTTTTTTTCCTCCTCCAACTAAACCAATACATTATTTATCTATTACAAGGAAGGTTTATGTGTGGCTCTTTTGTGTATTTGGCTTCTTGTTGTTTTTGTATATGCCAAACTCCATTATATTTATAGTGGTGCATGAGTAGTAAATAAAACCTTCAAGATTATTCTTGATCCTTTAATACGCATTACTAGAATTATCTAGCTTCTTTTCCTTGAGTTAACCGACATTACTTGAGTAATGTGTATTATTCTAGAAGATTATTCTTGATCCTTTAATACTAGAATTATACCGAACTCATTCCCCGCTTGGATATCCACCCCCACCTAATCCTCATCCAAGACCCGCCTATTCCCCGCTTTTCATTGCACAATACTACATAATTAATATGCATTACAAAAAAAAATGTTAATATTTACACACTTCTTTGTTTATAGTATTAGCATATTACAACTCTACTATTTTATTTTAAATCATTTTTTTTTAAAATAGTATAAAAGTACAGAAAATTTGCAAATTGCAGCCATTTTAAAAAAATTGCTAATTGCAGCCCAAAAATTCGTATAAATTGTAAATTACAACCTGATTCAACTTTTTCATCAGTTTACATTTTGAAAATTTTTCGGTTAAGGTTTTAGGGGCTATTTTAGGTTTTAAGGAACCGAATTGAGCTCGGAATTAGCAAAAAAATTATGCAAGTGCCTCGTTTTGCGTAACAAAAATATATTGATTTGTGGGTAACTATTTTTTGCTGTAAAAACAAGACACTTAAGTTAATTTTTTTTTGCTAATTCCGAGCTCAATTATGATCCTTAAGGACTAAAATGGCCCCTAAAACCAT